ACCAATATAAACACTGCCTATTTTCACTGCACGTCAAATTAATTTCTGTTTAATTCATACCGTGGCTGAATGCTGGTTAACCACTGTCACCTAACATACAGAATTTTGTGAATTGTTATTCATTGTCCCATCTCTGGACACAGGCTGAGACCCGGGAGACACTGCTGGGTTTCAACATGGTCAACTACCGGGCCTGTAAGAACCTGTGGAAGGCCTGCGTGGAGCACCACACCTTCTTCAGGCTGGAGCGGCCCATCCCGCCACAGAAGAACTTCTTCGCTCACTACTTCACCCTGGGCTCAAAGTTCAGATACTGGTGAGAACAAGATGACACGTGATTACACTCACAGAGGAACATGGTGATTATTGACAAAGCACAGACTTTGAGACATTTTGCTTTGATATTCAGACACTCACACACACATGGAACAACTTGTGGACACGTGTGTCTTTCGCCCTTACTCCGAGCATCAGTCCCACTTCCAGTAAACCCCAACGGAAGTACATGTTCTTACCACTTAGGAAGTGAATGCACTTGTTTCATTGAGGCTGAGAGAGTAGTGGGATCCTCTCATGTTGCCAGGCCTCAGAAAAGCATAGTTTAATTATTCACGGTTTACATCCAAAAAGGAAAAAGCAACTTGTCTGTGTTTGGCCTCGTAGCCAGTCTTCTAAGTTTTGCATAAATCATTCATGTGCATGGACTAGCATCTTGTGCAAATGACTTCACAAATTAAAATTAAACACTTCTTTTAATATACAGTTCGTGGGAACATGGACTGAGGGCATAGAATTATACAGACATTTACCACCTTGCTGGACTATGACATCGTCTTGCTTCGCTTGGTCAACAGCACATTATTTTCATTTTTTTTCTCTATGAAATATGAGGGTGAGATGAACTGAATGTCTTGTGATGTATTATTGACCAGCAGCACTGCAACATGAATGAGCCGAGCTCTGAAGCTGGCCTTGACTGTGTGTGAGTGTGTAGTTGTGTGTGTGAGCTTGTGAGTGAGTGTGAGAGATATTGACTGACATTTGAAGAGTGTGTTTGTGTTGTGTATCATGGTATTTGTGTCTGTGCTCAACTCAGTGTTGGTGGCTCATTTTAAGGCACAATTTGACACAAAGATTTTTGGGGGTGTTTCCCCCAATGTAGCAATTATTATTGCAGTTGAAGTACGATATTTTTTTAGGTTAGTCCACTGACTTGTTTTTGTTGTTTGTGTCTGTAGCGGGCGGACAGAGGTGCAGTCTGTGCAGTATGGAAAGGAGAAGGGCATCAAGGACCGAGTATTTGCCAGGTAAAGGACATGTTTTTCAAGATTAGTTTAATCTATCATTACCAGACTCTGAAGGGGAGATAAAATCCTCATAAACTTCATGTATTATCAGTGCTAGGCACGGTACGACATTTCTCATTAAAATACTAAACTTTGCCAATAACTTAGCAGCAAAGGTGAAGCTTTTTAAATACTTGCAATTTCACTTTTACTCAGTTTTCTAGTTTCATTAAATTATTATTTTTAAACTTTTATCTCATTTTGCCTCTTCTCTATTTAATATGTACAAATGTAGATATTTGCCGCTTCATCCTCAAAACACAGACACACATGCAAGCAAGAAAAAGTTATTAAGTTTTAGTAACTCTGATATAATGAATACATTTCAAATGATTATCCCTCACACACCTCGTTCACATTACTTAAACACTGATCATTAATCATTTGTGCTAATAATGGCCACAAATGAATTCTTGTCTTGGTCCGTGTAGGTCTCCCAGCAAGCCACTGGCCAGAAGGTTGGTGGGTGGAATGGACTGGGAGTCGGTCAGCAGGAACAGCCTATCAGATGAGAGACTGGAAACCCAGAGCCTGCCCACTCGCTCGCCGCCTGGGACGCCCAATCAGTGAGTCCAAACTGCAGGGTTCATACCAGGCTGGGGTTCAGTTCAGCTTCACTGCAGAAGATTATGGCAGTGGAAATATGAATAACGTCTATTTAAATGACTGTTTTAACAGCAAGCATATTTCTCCGACATAGTTTTATTATTCTAGTTGGATATGAGGTGAATTGTAGTTTTAAAGGTTGGTCAAAGGTTAAGGTGGATTCAAAATACATGTTTTCATGTTTTTGGCCTCTTGAATGGGATTTCTCAAGAGTGCTTGAGGGAATCTCTTCAACTTTTGATCACTTGTCACTTGGACTAAGATTTTCAGATAAAGTGATTATGTTCCAGTGGTCAAAGGTCACAGTGACCTTATATATAAATGGAAAGAAAGTATGTAGAAATATTTACACGCAAACCGGTTTGTTGTCGGATGCATACAACCGCAGTGCAGTAATTGTAGTTTATACCTGATGTAAGAACAAACCTGCATAAGTAACAAAAAATATATAAGCAGTCCTTTAACATTATGTTTTTTCATGTGTTTTTGACAGAAACTCGCTGTTTGTTCAAGATGGCACACGACTACGCCCTTCATCTGTCGGACACCTGGTTGACCACGTGATCCACGCTTCACCCAGCTTGCCTGTCTTCTCCTCAAATCACAAGTCTGCGTCGTCCACGCAGGCAAACAGCATCAGCCTGGACTCTACACCGTGAGTCGATAAAATTCCGATTTTCATGGGCAGGCCAATTCATTATCATTTTCATCTTCTCGTCTTTTTTTCCCCCTTATTCCCCTGTATATTCCTTTTTGATACACATCACGCCCAGTTTCTTTAAAGTTGTTTCTCTTTGGGAAAAATCAACCTCTAACTTGGTTGCAGAGCAGCCGATTTCACTCTTAATTCACTGGCTCATAAATAAAGCACCCCTCAAAAACAGCCACCCTTTAATTTTGAAGTTAAATTTTACTCATCAGTGTTAGTGCCACTCTGTCTGAGCGCATTGCTGAGTTGACTGCTTTTTAAATGTCTGTCTGTGTCTGTGGCTTCTCCCAACAGTTTACACCCTCTCCCAGTGTCACTTAGCCAGCCCCATTGGAAAGATGAAGCCTTTGAAAAACAGCCTGTAAAATGTGTTTATAGCGGGTAGCAGGGCGGAGGGCTTGTACAGTAAAGCAATTCTTTCCTTATTGTGCTCACACACTATTAAACATGTGGTGGACTTCTTTAACTAAGTAAGTTCCATACTGATATTTCAGGAGTAGAAAAGAATCATGGGATATTAGCTGGAGTTTAGTTAAAGGAAAATAAGTTCAGTTTAAAATGAGCTATGGAACTCACACATGCTGAGGGCCTGGACTGGTCTGTACCTTGTCAGGACCAATAGAACTCATTGGAACTAAAGCCCAGTCCCTATGTTGAGTTTATGGTTAAGATGTGAATTGTGCTTAGGTTAAAGTTAGGGTTAAGCATGAATTGGGCATTGTTAAAGTAAGGGATAAGGTTTTGGTTTGTCTGTGGAAGTCAAAGTAAAGTCCTAATAAGGATCGCTGTGCAAACCTGTGTGTTTTGTGAATTTGTGTCTGTGTGTGATTTTGTCTATTTGTGTATAAGTTTGTGTGTTAGAAGGAGTTGGAATATCACTCAGTTGGAAATCAGAGTGATTAAGTAACATGATAGTGGTAGTTCGAGCACCCACACATGCACACGCGCATACACAGACATCCAACGCCAAGTTGTTAACTCATCAGTTTGTTCTAGAGCCAATAGATGAACACTCGTTATGCGTGCATGTTTTTTTTGGATTGGCTTGATTTGGTTTATTCACCATGGCAGTCATAATGGATACTTTTTAAAACATCATAATTTATGATTAGGTAGTTCTATTTTACAAATTACATTTAATTCCAAGTCAGGATAACAACTTTCACTTTAAGGCAAAACTACGAAACCAAATATTAGACTGGGTGATTTTCAGCCTTTTCAGAAAGGTTTCTGTCCGACGCCTTTGTAGCAAACATTCTCTTCATATAGACAAATTATTATTTTAGTATATCATCGACATTCTGTTTAGCTCAGAACTGCATTCAACTTGAAGCTCAAAATCTATTCACCATGATTTTAGGATGTAAGTGATGTAACTGAGCTGTTTCAATGAGGTGTTACCTGATGATGTAAATGGGATTAATTTGGAAGTACTGTATGTCAGACAGAGGGACCTTGGTGAAAATGAACTCAATTTCACAATTTCCCACGTTTCTTGCCTAAATCCTGTTTTCTCTGTTGAGTGGAATAGTTTTTTATTTATCTGGGCCCTGAGCAACACAGAAATCCTTCAGAGACTCAAATCTGTGGGTGGACTGGCCTTTCCTAATCTCAGATACTACTACTAGGCTGTAGAAATTTAGTTTTTAACTGGTTGCCATCAAGTCTCAATGAAAAGTAGATTATTGTCCATTGAAAAAAAATCCTGCTATTATAATCATCTCTCTTAGTTTTGTTTGCTCCAGTTGCCTCCTCTGCAAACCCCATTGTGATGTCTACTATAACATTTGGTCTCAATCAAGATTCCATTTTGATTTTGGCCAGTTATCCATTCTGAATCTTCTGTGTAACAATTATCTCTTTGCCCCACAAGGATTAGACTCAGTGAGTCAGACATCCCTCATTTTAAAGATTTATGTACCATGATATATTTGTCATGTTATATTTTCAGGTCAATTACTTTGTTCCTGAAACATTTCCCTCCAACTAAAACTGCATTAGAATCAGCCCTGTCTCCCACATTACCCATAACCCAGCACACTCTATAATGTTCTGTTTTTAGATGGGAGTGAGTGGAGTGAAAATGATCCGTTGAGAGAACCACGGCATATCACATTGATGCCTTGTTAAACACAGAGTCTTTATTTCCGTAACACTGTCACAGAACCAAAATGTACAATTATACAAAGCAATGCATCACATATGCTATGGTATGTTTGATAAATTACTGTGTATGCTGTAATCAGTCTAGTTTCTCCAAAGATGCAAATCAAGTGCTATCTGTATAGAATAATTCATGTAAAAAAACTCTTGGCCGTGCACTGGACATGTTATTACCTCTGCCAAGTAGGTTGTTTTCGCCCCTTTCCGCGAGTTTGTCTGTTTATATGTTTGTAAGCAGGACTAGGCAAAGACAATTTATTTTCAGAAATATTTATAAATTTACAGGAATTTCTGTTTTTCTTTTACTTTCTTCTGAAAATAATGTTTTTGTTGCAATGGTCAGCACGGTGTTGTGGTAGTTAACATTGTTGCCTCACAGTAAGAAAGGTTCTGTGGAGAGTTTGCATGTTTTTCCGTTCCTGTGTGGGTTTTCTCCAGGTATTCTGGCCCCTCCCACCGTCCAAACACATGCAGACTAGGGTCAAGTTAATGGAGACTTGAAATTGACCATTAGCTTGGATGTGAGTGTGAATGGTTGGCTGGCGACCTGTGCATGTTGTACCCTGCATCTTGCCCAATGTTAGCTGGGATTGGCTTCAGCTCTCCCTGCAACCCTCAAAGGATTAGTGATAGATAATGGATGAATGGATTGATGGACTCTGTGCAGGGACAATAATAGGGAATCTACTATCAATCTTTGAACAGATTTGCACCAAATCTCCTGGAAGAATAGAACACGAGTCAAGACAGAAAATAATAAATCTTGGTATGCATCTAGGATTTTATTTTGTTTAGAACATTGCGAGATAGGACATTCTCAATGTATTTACCAATTTCCCAGGGAATAATCCATGGATAAATCTGGTATATTTAAGGAAATTATATTTGTTTGCACTCTTGTTTTTGCAGTGATGAAGATTTGTTTACAATCCAAGTTTATAATAGAATGACCGAACAGGCCTTCATTATGTTGATGTGGACAATGTTTGAATGTCCTTTTTCCTGGGTGTTTTCTAAGTAGTGGTAAGGTATGAAGATACTTCCATATCCATTTCACTTGTCTGCGTCGTGTTGAGGAAAGTGAGGATGTGCAGTCGGTGAGGCCCGCTGCGCTCTGCCCGCTGCGCTCTGCCCTCCTGCTGAGAGCCTGACCTGGTTTTGACCCATAACAAATGTTAGTTTATGTGTGTGTGTAGTTAAGACACAAAGTGGCACCAGCAGCAGCAGCCACAACAAAGGCAATGCTCTTTGACTGGTGATCCCAGCCCTAAGGAGTGCCTGTACATACATACACACACACTCACACACAGGGAGAGAGAGAGAGAGAGAGAGAGCGAGAGATACAGACGTGGAATGAAATGATGGGCTTTTACCCCCCAGAGAGTGGGAGCCATGATGCTGCTGAAAGCATTACCTGACTGACTGTGTTGTTCCACCTTCCACACTGACTGCCTTTTATTGTCTGGATGATGGCGGGGGGTGTTTTCCTTCCTTTTATTGAGGTTAATGCATTGTGACTAACACAGCACTATTAAGGCTCTCTGTCTCTTGCAATCTTTTACTCCCCTTTATCTGTTTTTCTCTTTGCGTCTCTATCCTTCTCTACCTTTTTCTTTTAAAGCCCACCTCTTTAACAAACAGGAAGGCCTTCAGCTCCATTTGTCATGTCTGGTTCTGTACCTCTTTGTTGTAGCATCTATTGTCCACCATCTTTGAAATGCCCTTCTTTATGCGTTTAAGTTAGCACTATGGTGTGTTTTGTAGAGGCCACGAGTGTAATCATAGAATATGGTGATGCATATTAAGAAACATATCAACACATCCAGAGCCTGTTGTTCTCCAGTCAGATTATTTGGTACAAAAAAACCACCAACGTTGTTTTGAATTAAACACTTCTCTCCCTCGCTTTTCTTTATTTTCATTTCCATTCCTCTGACTCTGACACTGACTGTCTCTCTTTGTGCCTCGGTCAGGTCTCCTGAGGGGATAGACGGTCAGCCTCCAGCTCTGCCTCCCAAGCAGCTGAGTAGGAAGACCTTGAGCCAGATCATCCAGGCCCACTCTCAACAGAGCCTCCTGGACAACCACCTCAACGAGATGTACGACGTTCCCGTCAATGCTGACAAGACAACGGTCAGTGTGGCAGCACAAGACACAAATACTGATTACATTAGTATATATATACATTTTAACATATTTTAAGGAAGTTATAAAGATTTTAAAGTCAAATTCTTAATTTCAAAAACTGAACATTTTGAGTCTGTCCTCAGTCGGCTAATTAGGTAAAACACTGTCATTTGAAGCTTGGACTGCTACTGGTGAATTTATCCAATATCCAGTTTGGTTTTGTCTCTTTTTTTAGTTATACATTTGAATAACCATGCAAACATCAAAAATAACTATTTACATTTAAATAAAGCTCTAAATTAATTCTAAACTCAACATTACTCTGTTACTGCTGGACTGTGAGAGGTGTTTGCCTCTCTTAGATGTTTCTTGCAGTCCCTTAAGTATCATGCTTAGCAAAGAAAGCAAACAAACTCTTACAAACATAACGTAACTGCTCAAAAGGTAAGTGAAATTTGACTCTGCATTCATCATATGGCCATAACCATAACTCAAATCAAATATATTTTTTTGTCTCTGTTGGACATAAAGTTATATGGGTTACTTTTTACGAAACAGTTTTAACTGCTCGCTTTAACTATTAACTTTTGTCAGCCCGCTAGTGGTCATGAATACATAATTGAATCTCTCACTATTAAGTTGTAAATGTTTAATCATGAACATTCCAACCAAAAGCTCTGCTGTTACCCAGTGTTAAAGCTGCAGTAACCACCGCTAAGGAGGAGGAGGATGATATGGATGAATAAGGATGTGAATTTGACGTGTTTGGCCGTGTTCTTTCAGCTGAATGGAGTCGTCCCTCATGATAATTTGGTCCTCATCAAGATGAGACCAGATGAGCACGGACGATTCGGCTTCAATGTGAAGGTGAGAGCTGACACAAGTTGCAACATAAATGGAAGTCTGTTTACAGTTTATGGTTCCTTGCCCCTTGGCACAAATCATCTCCAACATCCTTAATTTTATCTAAAATGTTTACTTGTCTCTAAGAAGAATGGACAGTTGTGCTGTGAACATCTGTGTCTGTTTCTCCAGGGTGGAGCTGACCAGAAGATGCCTATCATCGTGTCGAGAGTAGCTCCGGGAACATCAGTAAGTCAACAACCACCTCGCATGAGTCATGAGTCAGTAGATGAGTAAATACAGTCCCTCTCCTACTCTTTATTTTCACTCACTTATGTTAAGTAACAGCAAATAAAGCATCACGAGTAAAGCTCAACTGTAGCGTTTTTGAATCTGAAAATATTTGCTCTTTCATTAAAAACATTTTACTGCACTAAACACTTGTTACTAAACTCTAAAAGTCACTTTGATTTGTGTCATCTTCATGTGTCTCTATTCTTCCTTGTCTTTTCTTTCTCTTCCGCCTGTATTTGCTTTTTCAGGCGGACCTTTGCGTGCCCCGCCTCAACGAGGGCGACCAGGTGGTCTTGATAAACGGGCGGGACATCTCTGACCACACCCATGACCAAGTGGTCATGTTCATCAAGGCTAGCTGTGAGAGCCACTCTGGGGAGCTCATCCTATTGGTCAGACCAAACGGTGAGTTGTTCCCATTGGTTGGGTCTCCTGTGTAATGTTCTAAAGCTGCCATCAAATGGAGAGTCTCAAATGACCGTTCCAGTCTTAATGGTTTTATTTTTATTAATTTTGTTTTATTTGTACAGCACCAAATCACAACTGCATTATCTTGTACACTAACAACATCAGAATTCTCTGTTGCGACGTGTTTGCTGACATTTTCGGAAATAGCAGTGGCCGTGGAAGTGTTTTAATTTTGGAAAGTTTTTCCTCACAATTCCTTCTTTTCATTATTTGCATTATTATTAATGTTATTTGTCCTGATAGCCATTTATAAATAAAGTTATCTGGGGAAAAAAGCAGGTGTCTTTGGCCCTCACAGGTCTGTAATAGACACGACCGATCTTTAATTCAGTGTCTATGAAATTTTTTCCTTGATTTTACCTGTCTGTCAGTAACTGACCTGCCCACACCTGTACAGTTCAATGACTGAAATCTTCAGCCATTGGTGTGAATCTTCTGCTTCACACCAATGAAGCAGAGACGATAGGTAGAAGTTAGTGAGCAGGTCATGGAAAGGTCGGCTTCTAGCAGTTGTCAGTGCATGTCCATGTTTTTTGGGGATGTAACTTTGACGAGAGGGTTGTTTCTAGCTAGCTTTTACTAGCTTTTCCAGGATTACCAACCCTTGCTTTAATATTAAACAGAATTTCAATCAAGTGTGAGATGAGCCATGTCAACCATTCCTTGATGCTCTTCATTTTATTATTACTATTCAGTCACAACTCATTTCTATGAAAGAGCTAGTTTCTTAGGTGCAACCTGTTTTAATTTAGCCATGCATGAATCTCCACTTTGTAAATCCTAGGCTAAGTGTAACATTCAGACAGCCGGTGCAGCTTCATGTCTGATCACAAGCTTTGCCTCTGCTCTTGCTTTCCCTCAGGCTGCTCGGTTTCACTTTTTTGATTGCAAATGAGATTTATGAAGTTGTACACTTTGCTTTCTGTACATCTCAGCTATATATGAGTGCACCATGTAGGAAGAAGACTGCGAAGCATTAGTAAAGTGGGGTGATGAAACATGGAAATTCTTGGGATTTTAACTGGGTCAAAGAGGGATTTGTGCATTTTATCCCATATTACATTAAAGCTGATATAAGATGGCATCAATGTAAGGAACGCTAGAAAATTCACGGTGTTTGATTTGTCTGTTATTAGCTCACATGTACAGCAGGACGGCAATGAAATATTTGTGGTGTTGCAGTCTGTTGGCTTTCTTTCATTTTTTATGTTTTCTTCTTCCATACTTAAAGATAAATCAACTCCCCTGAGGCCTCCAGTTGCATAAACAGCCGTGTGTGTGTAATCTGTGACATATGCCTTCCTCTGTCCCGTTCAGCCATCTATGACGTGGTGGAGGAGAAGGCGGATTCGGAGCCAGATTTTCAGTACATCCCTGAGAAGTCCCCTCAGGACCCCACCCAGCTAGACCAGCATGCTTTGAGGGACTCTATGGTAGCACTGAAGGAAGGCCTGAGCGGCGGAGCCATACTGGCCCAGTTTGATGTGAGGAGAACGACACAGAGATAAATTCACACTCACTCAGACGTACACACGTTAGTGGAGGTGCAGGTTTGACTCAGTCGTTTTTGATTGATTGCTGGTGGATTACTTTAAGTACTTTACTCTCTTTCTTCACAATCCAAAGAAAACCTCCAGCCTGTTATCACTATCACTTGACAGCTTCCTGTTAAAGTGTGCTATTAGCAGAGAGGAATGTTAAACACAATCACACACTCACACACACGTCTAAATGGTCAGTGCATACATTCGTTTTTGGACATGAAAAAAAGTTAGTTTCAATGGTCTTTGTGAAGTATTTTTATTCTATCTTTATTTTTCAAGGGGTAATAAACATTAAAACATAGTGGAACAAGCTGTTGGTTAGAATAGAATGCCTTTTATGTCATCACACAATGAAGCATGGTGAAATTACTGCAGCTACCACTGAAAGGTACTTTTAGTAAAAAAATAAATAAAATATAACAATAAAAATAAACATGTTTACAAGAAAAGGATAACTTGTGACCATACACACAACCATATTAACTCACACACGCTTAGGATAAAAAAGCACCAAATCAGGGAGCCAAGAGCCGCTGCGTCTGTACACGCCGCCATTATTACCAATGTGATCCGATAGAAGTACATGTGAGTTCATACAATGATGGATTAGAAAACATCAAGGTGGGACACATACACAATTTTCTCCATGGTTTAGTCACAATACATATCAGTCAGTCTTTGTTGGAGGCTTGAACTTTACCAATATCATTAATATCACTAAAAGAGCTGTAATANGTCAACTTCACAATAATTCCAATAATAACTAATTTATAAAGCAACAAGACTAAAAGTCTACAACCATGCTAGCATCTCTACAAACTTTGAGCTAAATGCTGACATCAGCACACTAAACCGCCTCAATGACAATGCTTACATGCTGATGCTTAAAATTTATAATACATATGTTTACCATGATCATCATCTTAGTTTGAACCGTTAGTATTCTAACATTGTCCTATTAGCACTGATCACAAATCTGAGAGCAGACTGATAGAACATTTTTGATTATGAGACAAAGTACTGGATGAGTTCAAAAATGATTGACCTGTTGAAAGGACTAGATGAAAAGTTGTGGGATCACCAAAGCTATTAGACTACATCATCTGAGAAGTGCCAATCCATCCATTTTTTCAATTTCACAGAATAAGTTCAAACTTATTGCCAGAATAGAAAATCGTTAGGATTCGTCCTACGAGTAGAGACATTTGTGTTTGAACCCAAGTGGTCGACCCTCAACACCCTTGAACTGTGCTGTCATGATGCTGAGTTGAAAATGTCAAACACTGGCTGGCACAAAATGTTTTGTATCATTGCAAATTGAATATCTCTGGGTTTTGGACAAGTGGTTGGACAAAACATGCAATTAACTCAAACATCTGGACAGCTAAAAGCTCCAGAGGGGGCGAAATGATGAGCAGCTGGGAATCGCTTATCCCATCGATCCCATGGGACACACAGAGGTGCGATTTCTGACACTTCCTGGGAGACGGTTGACTGATGCTGTCGACACTGAGTCTCCATGGTGATGGAGCATGAACCACTGCCTCCTCGGCCTTCCCCATAGCTCCTCATAACCTGCCTGGGTAGCATAATAAACACCCGGCCCCGAGGTACCCATGTAGATTCTATCGGACGGCAAAAACAACAAACCTCCGAGACCCTTTTTCCTGACTGGAGCCGGAGAACAACGCGTTCCCCCTCTTCTCAGACCAGTGGGCTACAGGGACCTGTCTAGTTCTCCGCAGCATGGGTGGTTGAATAGGATAGAGAGCACAGACAAGGATGACGGACAGGAAGTGAGCCAGTCATGACCATTTCCCAAAAGCAGCACTTGTAAATATTTTCCTGTCGTCTATTGCCACAACACTGGAATAGTCAATGTTATTTAGAATCATACGCATAGTTTCCTAAGGAAAGAATGTCCCTTACAATCCATCAGATTTTCCTATTTCCATTTTTATGTTCACTTATTATTTCAATTCAGCAATATTTCCAGATACTGGCAAAAGGCAACACTCATGCAACTCATTTTCATTTAGGAAAATTATAAAAATATTGTTTTACAGATTACTTACAGCAACTGTACAGGAAGAGGCCGGGGATGACAATGCTGTGTGCCAAATTACCTCAGAACGTTTCCAAAAATCGCTACAGAGACATCTCTCCTTGTACGTAATAAAAACACAGTTGTCTGTTTCTGTTGTTGTTTTTTTGAAAACCCTATGTACCGATGTTAACCAACACCCTCTCAACTGCCCTTATCAACTTCCTTTCTCTGTTCTATTGGGAAATATTCTCTCTTCTGAAAATTCACACCCTTTCTTTTCTATTTCTTTTCTTCTCTCCTGGCAGACGATGCCACGCGGGTCATTCTGAAAAGCGCAGATGACTACATCAATGCAAATTACATCAATGTGAGTTTTTTCCTCCTCACTTTTCTCTTTCATCTTTTTATCAGTGTCTCTGCGTTTTGCTCGTTTAAGACATGGTGGGTGGGTGGGTGGTCTGTTTTGCCAACCATCAGAGCACATGTTAATACACTCGTGGCCTTTTTACTGGTGAATGAATTAACCACAGTGGCAGTATAAGCAACGTGACATTGTATGTTAATGTTTTTCCTTGCTTTTGAGTAATGTATCTGCACGTCTGTTTAAGAACAGAACCTGTGTGTGTTTACACAAAAGAAATGCACTTTGCTCTTTTTTTATAAACATAAGCCCTTTTCAGACATTTCTGACATTAATGGCTTCATGTATGTGTCTATATAATGATATATGTAATGTTTATAATTAAAATAATATTTTAAGGGAGTCAGCCCTCGATCTCTGACCTGTTATGGCTGTACTGAAGAATCGTCACTGAGTTGCACAGTGAAAACAGCAGTGATTTGAAAAAAATGATATGAAGAAAGAAAATTGCTCTTAGTTTTCTAACCGGCTGAATCAAAGCTGTACTCTTAAAATGTATTTAATAGGTAAATAATTGTTTTATTATTATTTAATGGTCATGGTGATCATGTAGGACGATGAGCAGATGTTCAGATGTGTCTTTTATTTCATTTCTGTTTGCTGTGCATGTGAAGTCCTGAGGTATTAGTTCTTGAAAGTGATGATATCGATGAAAGTTAAAGATTGATCTGATGGTTTTCTTGAATTTAACCACAGGGTGAGAAGTCAAAACTGGCATGATTCAATTTTTTATGGTAACAAGAAGTGTAATTTACATTTATTATCATCTGAAATCCCCATCAGTGCTGCTAAAAAGTTGAAGAAAAGATCAGTCATTTTATATATCCCTCTGACACATGTTAATGACTTATTCAAACAAATGTATAAACTACAAACTAAAGTGATGAGAGCACACAGATCACATATTCTGAACAGAAAAGAAAAGAAGCTGTAAATGTATTACCTCTGTATCCTGATCTCTTTGTCTCTCTTTGGTAGATGGAGATTCCAGCCTCCAGTCTGATAAACCGCTACATAGCATGCCAGGGCCCACTGCCCAACACCTGCCCTGACTTCTGGCAAATGACCTGGGAACAAGGCTCATCTATGGTTGTCATGCTGACTACGCAGGTCGAGAGGGGGAGGGTAGGTCGACATTTTCTTCCAACACAAGACTGGAAACCATGTATGGACTGCAGCGTGGAATTAATGATACAAACACCTTTTACTGAACACAATATAGCTACACTGTGGATTCTGTGTGCGCACAGGACACAGTCTGAGCAGCACAGCAGCAAAGCAACACTCTGTGTCTGATGCATTCAGGCATTGCATTAAGTTGTAGGCCATCCTAGTTTTAGCAGTGTTCAGAGCCCATTATACAATCACTGTATTACACGAATGCAATGCAGAAAAAAAAATGCTTTTGGTGGTGCCTACAGGCGTATGGCTCAAGTAAAACGTGTTTTGAAGCCTGTGTAGGCAGTTGGATTGATTTTTGTTTTTTTAAAGAGAGAAAAAAGAAACTGCTCTATCTCTTTAAATGTAGCTCTCCTGATGAAAACAAGGCTTAATTTCAATATATGGAAATCCCAAGTTCTGATTCTGAGTGAGCCTCTCATAATAATGTCAGTATCATCAAATGCACACACGGCCTAATCCATCCACTAAGTTGTGTCACTATGAATACAATGGATTTAAGACTCGAGATTCAAGATTCAAAACTATCAAATAAACAAATACAATACAATACATAAGAAGACATAACCTGGAATACAATTTCAGATAAAGACAAAGACTGTATACCAACAGAATTAGAAAAGTAAAAGTTGACATTTGACAATTAAAAACGTAAGTTCTTAAGTTTCTCCTTTCTTGCGACAGAAGAGCATAATGGCAGTGGGGATACATTTGACATACTTCTGTTGACAGGGTGTCCTGAACCTTTGGATCTAAAATATTTTATTTATCAAAATGTGAATTTTCAAATTAATTATAAAACATATTTATACTCTAACAGGCTGGACTGAGTATTGAAATATGTTACAAATAAATCATGGGTCAAGTGATAAGAATTTTGAGGTTTTATGTGACTCCAGATACCCTGAATATATTTCATAGATACATTACATGCTATAAATATGAGTATTAAATATACTAGGTGGGTAACTGAACTGAGTGAACAGATGCTATTCTGGAGTAAACCCTGACCTCTGATGTCATAGCAGAGAATAACAATGGTGACTAACAAAGTTATACTTGAGTTATAAACTAAATGACTTTGTCTGTTTTTAAAGGTGAAGTGTCATCAGTACTGGCCCAACCCAGACAGCACCACCACCTACGGAAACTTCACAGTCACATGCCACAACGAAGAGGGCAACTCTGCCTTCCTGGTCAGAGAGATGACTCTTGTGCACATGCAGGTAATCATAACACACACAAACACACAGTCACCTGCATCTACAAAAATAACATCAGAGGAGGAAGAAGGGTAAAAGGGACAGGAGAGGAGCAAATAAAGGGAGGAGCAGAGGAGACGGACCAGAGCGTGGAGGAAAGGCGAGGCAGTGAGAGGGCGTGTGCTGACGGCCAGAGCAGGTTAAGACAGGAGAGTGAAGGACTTGGGGTCCAATCAGAGGAGAGGCACGGGGAGTCTCAGGAAGGATGAGCCGCAGCGGGCCCCCTGGAGGAGGTGTGTTGCCATAGTGACCGGTGTGGGCTGTTCTTTTTCTGGCTCCCGCTGCTTACATGCGGGCCACGTATTGGGATCCGGTTGCCATGACAACCCAACCACCCCAGTCAGTCACACTGCTGAAATATAGAGAGAAACAGAACAGAGTGAGAGAGTGGGACAAAGATAGTTTTGAAAAACAGAGAGGCAGAGTGTGTGTTTGTTTTTCTGTGATGCTGAAAGCATTTGATGCTTTCAGTCGTTCTTCAACATGTCATGGTGAACTTTTATGTTGTTCCCTCTACACTGACAGCTTGTATTTGTTTTGGGCTCACAACCCATGCATCTAAAGTTATCTTTGTGCCTGAGTCTATGCTGTAAAATAACAGTATGTAACATGTATATGTACAATACCAGCTAATTAGAAATGAACATATACAACAGTATCAAACGTTCGTGCTGTTGATTCATCATTTTCTGCTGCCTGTGTTTTCCTAATTACGTCCCTGTGTGTTGCCCTTGTATCCTGACCTTTTAAGTATACGGCTGTTGGAGGAGGCAATTAGCATTCTCCTCTGCCTGTGATTGTTGCTATGGAGATAGATGTGTTACCATGGTGATGCAGCAAGGCAGTATATTAAAGAGGGGAAACTGGGGCTCTAAGTTGCACAAGGAACAGTGGTCAGAAGTTGTTTTAGGGTTTGTGCTTGTGTGTGTGTGTTCACATCATGGTGTTCCTTCTGGGTTTAAATATCGCCGATCACTTTGTGCACATTATCTAGCTTGTAAGATTTTTTCACTTTTTTTGGATTGAACATGAGAGGAAGTGTGTCTAGTCTTTCCAGTATTTCCAGAAATATAAAAAAATATTCAAAGCTGTGGAAAATATTATTTCCAGTTTCTGGGGTTTTCTTAAATGGGAAGCAGAAGCGTGAATCACCAAGTGGTTGAGCAGAGTGGAAAGAATAGAGCCACTGTTTGTTATTCACACAACCTGTTTTATAATATGGTTAAAGGCCAAATTGACATAAACAAGTTTTTCTGCCACATCCTTCCTAAGACACAGAGCTCAATGAAACACGCTTGGAGGTCGCCCACGTGAAATATAGTAAAATGTTTTGGGTTAAGTATTAGTGATATCTGAGAACAGATATCCCCAGTTTGTTTCCAAGGGTTTAGATTGTTGAGGCGAGGGGTGATGTCTGGGTCGAGCATTCATGTGTTTACATCACATCGACACTGTCCCTTATCACCAACAGTTCTCAAATCCTGTTGACATTGTCTTCGGTGTCTTCTACGTGTACGACTCCTCTTTGTCATCCTGAGATATTTGTATTCTTTGTTGTTTTATTTGTTAGAAAAGTCGAACACGCCCACTTGCTTGCAGTGAATCCTCCAGATAATCTCCTGCTGTAGTCTCACATTGGCTGACTCGGACTTTATCCAGAGTTTTTACCAGGGGGCTAGCAGAGATCGTCTGCAGCAACTGACTTGGACCTTTACGCTGTCATATACAACACCTCTGGATATTTTCAGGATATTATCCAGAGTTCAGTGTGTGTGTCTGAAAAGTAGTGCACGGAAATGAAAAAGATTTCTTCATTTGTGTGTTTGTGAGCAGAGTGAGCAAGAGAGAGAGCTGACTCAGATCCAGTACCTGGCGTGGCCTGACCACGGAGTTCCCGATGATTCCACTGATTTCCTGGACTTTGTGGCTCTGGTACGGACTAAACGGGCTGGACAGGACCAGCCAATGGTGGTGCACTGCAGGTACAGTGAAGTCATTCTGTCAGTTGAAACCCTGATTCTCTTCCTCCACAATCTTGCACTAATTTTCGCACTAAACATCCATTTCTGTCCGTGCTGCTTTTTTTTTTCAAGTGCGGGAATTGGTCGGACGGGGGTTCTCATCACCATGGAGACGGCATTGTGTCTAATGGAGTGTGGTCAGCCAGTGTATCCTCTAGACATCGTCAGGACTATGAGAGACCAGAGAGCCATGATGATACAAACACCTGTATGTAGCCACATCCATTTGTGTGTCCAGCTGCTTTCAGCCACACTTCACACATCGGCTTTACATGTCTCTCGTTTCTCTTTAACAGAGCCAGTACCGCTTTGTGTGCGAGGCCATCCTGAAAGTCTACGAGGAAGGTCTGGTCAAACCACTACAGACCTCCATCTACCAGCAGAGAGAAAAGGTGAATGACGAGAGAGGGGAGGAGGAGCAGAGGGAGCAGCAGATAGAGGGAGAGGAGAAGGAAGAGACGGCAGAGGCGGAGGACGACGAGGCGGGAATGGTGGAGTTGCTGGAGGGAGGGCTGGACGAAGAGGACGACGATGACGAGGAGGTGGAGGTGCTGGACGTGGGTGAAGTGACAGAAGAGGGGGAGGAGGAGGAGGAGGAAGAAGAGGAGGAGGAAATGGAGGAGCCGAGCGTTGCGAGCGCCACCAGCGTGACGAGCGAGACCAGCGCTAACCCTGACGCCGATCATGCTAACCTGTGACGTTTTGACCTCCAGGGGTCATCAGGGGGTTACCAGGAGTGCAGGTGGTCGGAGTGGAGAACAAAAAGCACTGTTGCACTTTATGCTGATTTAAAATGGAAAAAAAAGACAAACAAACAAAACGTGAAAATCAAGGACATGTTAGAATTTTTTAAAAAAGACATCCAGCTGTGTTGACTAGGTACCATTAGGGAATATTGTATGTTCAGGGTAAAGAAAAAAAGTATACAAAGAACGAGAAGATAAAAGTACGAGAGAGTAAAATGTGGATGGGGAATTGCTGTAGTGCCATAAGTATGAAGGGGAAGGGCCGCCCCCATGGATGGAAGCCCCCTGCCCTTTTAATTCTCTTTTATTTTTTTCCTAAAGGGTTGCCCTGTCCCCTTCTCAGCGAGTCTGCCAGACGGACCTGCCTTTTTTTAGTGTCCTTTTAGCTGATAAAGAGATAAACCTTATCTTTTGTTCTTCAGAAAGAGTATTTATTGTGTTTTAGTTTGTGTCAAACCCTGTCCACTGAACAAAAAAAGTTGTATGTTTTGTTTGTATGAGTCTAAGGCTTCACGCTTTTCCTGATTAAATCTTAGGTAGTAAAGTAGTGTGATTCCTCTTCTTCTAACTACTTCCTTATTTCTTTTTTTTAAAAACTTTTTTGTGGATAAAAAAACAGTGATTTAATTTATTGTACTATTGGTTTTTATCTTTCTCAGCTTTCTCGTCTACGTTTCTGACAGACTGACAGCAGAAAGCGCCTCGTGTCTCACCTCTCGTTCTATGCTGTGGCGAGTCAGATCCCTCGTCGCGCTTTGTGCTGTGTTTTTTGAGCTTACAGACACGCGTGTGCTCTGAAGTGGCCGTTGTTTGGTGCGGTGAGGAGTAGAGCTGGTTTACAATCCTCAGGGCCTGTGTTTACTGGGCACCTCCCTGTCACTCCCGTACTAGTCACAGCAGCTGCTGTTGAGCTATGACTATACGCTGAGCTAGAAATGTTTTAATTTGACTATTGATCGATTATTTCATGATATATGTTGAACCTCCTTGGATTTAACACAAGAAAACAAAGATGGTGTCCCAAAGAGAGGCCCCAGCAGACACATGGTCGCACTGAGATACAATCTAAGCTATGTCCCTGATAAAGCTAAGAAACGATCCTGAGGTCAGTTCTTTCTTCAAATTCTTACCCAGTATATTTTTTTCCCACAAGGTTTCTCAGAAAGCTTTTTCTTGTTGAGCTGACAGTGAACTGATCTCAACCTTTGTGTGGCAAAACCTGAACCGTTAGCAGCTCCCTCCATTGGCCTCCCCTTCTTTTTTCTTTTTCCACATCCAGAGACCAAGACTTTTGTAACCTGTGAAGTGGAGCAAACCCACGAACCTGCTCACGCTCATGACTCATTGCTTTATATGAGCGATTGTCATTAAACCAAGTAAACTTTTTGTTTAAAGTCCTTGCGGAGTACTTTTTTGCTAAGCTCCAGTGGGGTGGCAAGGTCAAAGGAGCGGAGCTTACAACCAACTGAAGAATCTGATCTAAATGTGTGTGTGCCTGCCAGGGAACAGTTGACAGTTCAAAGAAGCAGCACAAACAGATCAGTCAACTATTACTTTACCTTTATTTTATGTTAAATACTGATCTTTTACAGTGGTACTTCATCATTTTGAAGGCACGTGTTGTTTTTAAAAGAATGATGTGTTATGATTGATAAGTGACTGAGTGATGACTTGTAATTTTAATTCACAAAACCCAGCATCAAGTTGCCCGTTGAGTCTTTTTTTAATTGTCGAAGGACAGGTTGAGCTGTCAATGGGTTTTTTCGGGATGGATTGGAGTTTAAGCCTCTTTATAATTTGAGATATTTTTTCATACCGACTGCTTCAGTTCCTGCTGTCATTGGCTCCTACAATGGACTCTGCTGGAAAAACCTACTGCTGTGTGTGTGTGCGAGTGTGTGCGCGCATGTGTGTGTGTGTGTGTACTCAACCTCTCTCTCTCTTTCTCTGCCATTTATGAAATATAGTTTATCCGCTGTCTGGTCTACGCCTGCTTGTTCGTTAACTGGAATGAAAGGTTGTGCCATAAAGCCATAAACCTAAACTAAACCTGATCTCAAGTTTTTTTGACAAATGCGAAGAGCCTTCGTGAAGAGTCATATTTTGTTAGAGCCTAAATTCAAAACTGTGCTCATACCTCCTCTTTTCAAACCAGCTGAGTCATACTTCTGCCACATGTAGAGGTGGGAATAAGAGCATTTAAAACTGCTTTCCTCTTCACTCTATTTTTGAAAAAAAAAAATCTGTCCTGTATTGCGACACTCTCCCAAAAAAACTCCCCTTGGTCAACATCAGTCATTTTTGCACAGCCCACACAACATCCACAGTCCATTCTTCTCATTGCTTCCCCCCCCCCCCCAGATGCCGCTCTCTCTGTTTTTGGATCATTATACACGGATCCCACTCTCTGCACGGCCTCAAGGCGAGTGACACATCTGAGCAGATTAGCACGGGTACAGTAGAAGCAGTTCAGGAGGACAAACATGCTAATGGGTGAATACATTGCAGATCGCTACATGCAGCAGCTTTTAATCGAATGAACAAAAAAAATAATAATTGGCCTCAAGTGGCTCCTTTCCATCAGTTGTTGTACCTGAAGACTGGGCTGATCAAATCAGAATCAATCCACTCTTCAGTTACAGTTCAGAAAAATTGTCACTGCAGTGAAAACGTTGTTCATGGATAAGTGAGGGCTGCTAGATTTTCCATCTGCACAAAATGTTCAACAATGAGGTGTCTGTGTTCCAAGTGTTTCGACGTTGACTCATTATCGGTACTGTCTGTGCATTTAGGGTACTGATCAAATGTAGTTTGGAGGGTACCGGACATGGGGAGGTTGGGTTAGTTGTATTTTTGTAAAGATGAAAAAACAGTTCTAGTCGGGTAGGGAAAGGACAGCACTTTGTAGAAGGCTTAGTGGCAGGTAGTGCTACTGAAATAAATGAAAAAAAAAAGTTGGAGACATAAAGCATTGTTAAAATCAGTTGTTGATGAGTTGTTTATTTCTTTTAATTTATCATTTTTATTTTGTTTGAAAATAAAGACACCTGTAGGGAACCAGAAAAAGAACTCCTAACTACACAGTGCCACTTGTTAATTTTGTGTAAATAATACTAGATGTAAATACAATGTTGTATATGAAAAAAAAATCTTTAAAATAAAAGGGAAAATCATTTGTGAGCAGGAAGATTTTGTTTTTATTTGATTTTTGATTTTTTTTTTCCCTCTCCCTTTGAATGACTCAAATGTGACACAACTGGTGTGTATTTCAAGACTGCTATCTCAAACATTTTCTGTTTTATTTGAAACGTAATCTATAACAGCGAGTGTATATATAATGGAACACAGAATAATGAGAAATGTTTTATCGTATTTACCTTTGGTTTAACTCCTTACCTGTGTCATAAAATCCTTTGTCCTCAGTTGCTTGTTTCTTTCTGGTATTATGGTTTCACGGCGCTTTGGACATGTCTATAAGCTTGATTGTGAACAATTAAAGCTTGTCTGTCAAAGCATGGAGACGTGGCTTCAGATCACCTTGCTTTTCCACACTGAAGAAGTGAGGTTGGGCAATGTTGCAGAGCGCAGGAGGGACGCACCACTGCTGAAGAGCTCGATGAGAATCTCTTGGGTCACATTTCTAGGTTGTTTTTTTTTAATTGTGTGGTTTAACCATCGAGAGAAGCCAGTATTGAAATTATTTAACTACAATTTAACATTTGTGAAACAACAGGCTCTGAAGAAAAATTACAAACACTGAGACAAGGAAAGCAACAAAAAATGGAAATAGAATAGAGTTGTAAGGAAAATATTAGAATACAAAACAAATTGCTGAATAAATGACTTCCCATCAGTGTTGCATGCGATTCAACCTTGATGTATCACAATGTTAGGTGATTTGATTGAATAGTTGGAGGTATTACTCTGTATTAGTACCCCACAAAACAGAAATACATATTTACTTTGTGTACTGATAAGGACAAACACAGTTTTAAAACACAAACCATTTTAAATGTAACATTTTACCGTCTTCTATGTATTTGTACACAGATGTGAAGTACAGCTGGGTCTGTTCCAACATTAAGTAGCCTTACTCTAGCTATTACTAGATTTATCTACGCACATTATTAACATTCATAGTATTAATACGAATTATTATTTTTATAGCATTTTATAACTTGAAGAAAAGCGCTTTACAAATAATCATATAATGAATATTAATTTTAATAAAAATTAAATAAAATCAATAATTAGAGCTTTTTAAAGAATGTTTTAAGAATTTAAAAGAAGTACAGAAGTTACCTTTCTTATATTTTTAGGTAGTATGATGACATTTTGGATGGTAACAGTTTTGTTTTACTGTCTACACACAACAACATAAATAATGTGTATTTATATGCAGTAAACCGCTGATACACTGGAACAAAGGATTGGATCAATTGATTTATTGTCGACAAAGCTTTCAATTTGCTTAGATTTAAAGGCATACATGTTTTTTTTTATTAAATGAAATATTGCAAGAAATAAATATTTCAGATTTTATTTCAATTGACATGAAGAGATCAGGATAATCCCCAGAGCTGTGTCTCTGCCTCTGGAATCAAAAGACAATCAATCACGTTGTATTTGTTGAGCCCATATTCATAAATCACAATTTGTTGCATAGAGCTTAATAAAGTGTGACACCCTCTGTCTATTAAAACTACACTATTAAAACGTAGAAACCTCAGAGAGAGCCGCATGTGAGGGATCCCTCTCCCTGGAAGGACAGAAGTGCAGCAGATAGACATAAACAAAAAACAATATTTACAGCACTGATTGAAGGAAACTTACTTTGAATACATATATTTACGTGTAAATATATTTACAGTTAAATAAATATTTGTACATTTTTACACACACTGTAATGACAGCAACAAAACTGATCATTGAACTCAAACCATAGTTTGGCTCTGGCAACATTTGCAAACCATTATTCCCAAACTCACCAGAGGAGGGTGCTGTTGCCAAGTGATTGTTGACCGCTCTGTGTGACTGAAATCCAGAAAATGAACACAATGGCCACTTTTTGGACATCGGAACATTTGAATCACATCACACAACATTGAATGAATGAATAGTTATCAGATTACTTGGCTTTATGTGTGCAAAGGAGCTTAGCAGCATTTAAATGTGCGGAAAACAAATGACATAATCATTCAAATGTTCACATTAGGAGTCAATGTAAAAAAAACCAAAAAACAATATAAGGAGTTTTTCTTGATTTAAAAAAGAAAACGACTAAACCGTAATTTGACACCAGTCATAAACGTGTCTCTTTAAAAGTGCTAATGAGGGTTAGTTGGGGGGGGCTTTACTGTGACGCCACATCCGGGGCAGAGCTCCGCCTCTTGCTTGTTGTCGGGAGGAAATGATCCCGCAGCGGTGACGAGCTGCATCAACACGAGAAACAGGGACGAGCGCGCACTTTAACAAACATGGAGGCGGCCGGACTCGCTGTTTAGTCTCCTGCCATGCAAGCGGACGTGGTTTCACCGTGAACTGGTTCGAGCAGGACTCTGTAAGTATCCGCTCATCCCGCAGCAAGTGTGCGTCTTATTATCCAGCGCCCGGAGCTGAAGGCGGCGTTTGTTTTCCTCAGCGGGGGACACGCTCGCACGGGCGGAGTGGTAAGCAGTCAGCGCGCCCGTCCCCGCCGGCGCGCCCGTGCGACAAGTCGAACGCACACCTGTTGCCTTTGCTTGCGCCAGGTACCTCGGGCCTGACCCGAGTTAAAGAAGTGAATTGCTGTATTTTAACTTTCTGCATGTTTCCCCGCAGACGTGTTCTTTGTGTTTCACGGTTTGTGTTTGGCTGCTGCCAGCTCCGGGAGCTCCGGTCATCTCAAGTGAACATGGAAGTGAAGCACCGTTAGCTGACTCCTTCAGTCAGCTGTGCAGACTCCATCCAAATATTCCAATGCTAACTCCTGTAGCTTTCATATTCGAGGAAGAGTGTCACACAATTAGAACTAAGTGTTTTAGTAGTAAAGCATCTTTACTACGTTCACGTTAGCTTCACATAATCATACTTACCTGTTGCTTTTGCAAGTTTTTACTGTGACACTCATAGTTAAATGAACTGGCTGTATGTTATTTATTAGTTTTCTCCCCAGCAGAGTTACTGTATAAAAAGTTATATATACGTGGTTTGATATATTATATTTCTAACTTGTTAGCTTCTGACAGTTAGTGTAGTTAGCCAACTTTTAACTTCACATTTTGTCTGCTGACACTCCAGGTTAATGGCAAACTGCAGAGTTAACATGACACACAAGATAATAGCTGCTAATGTAAAGCTGCTTGGCCCAGACCAAAACCTTTAGATAGGTGTCAGCTGATATCTGGTAGCTATGTATCATCAAGTACACAAAATGGTGTGCCCGTTAGTTTTCAGGTGCACCGTCTCCTCGGTTTGTTCCAGGTATTTGCGGTGGATGAGTGGCTCCGTGTCTGCTGACGTTACAACAACCTGCACAGACTCTGCAAAACATGCATCTAACACCCACACGGCAACTTTGTGTCTGTTGTGTCACAGTTGTTTTTCACCTCACACGTTGTTTACAGTGTTTCCATGTTTGTTAGTGTCCCAGTTCTGTGGCTTATGCCAGGGTATGCTGTTTACATGGATCACTGAGAAATCTGGTTATATCCCAGAGCTAGAGAAATAAGGTGTCTCAAAAAATGGGATAAGGACTTATCTAGGCTACTGATATCAGGAAATGATGTTTACATGCTTCAACACAAAAATGTAATACTTCAAAAACCCAATAATAATGGGGATGATAGTGCGCAGGTAAAATCAGTATGTTTCATGGGTAGTGTAAATATGTAACATTTCTGAAGCCCTGTTAGGTTTCTAAATAGTTTCTCACACGTTTTCCATCTCTACCCTACAGGTGTGGTACTGTAACCCTCCCTCTCCCCCATCATGCTGAGTTTCCTGCGCAGGACGCTGGGGCGACGCTCCATCCGGAAACATGCAGAGAAAGCCCGGTTAAGGGAGGCTCAGCGAGCCACCACACACATCCCTGCTGCAGGGGATGCAAAGTCTATTATCACCTGCCGTGTGTCCTTACTGGACGGGACGGACGTCAGTGTCGAACTGCCGGTAAGGAGACATGCTATTATTTGTGCTTTTGTGCGCTCTTAGTCTTCAGTGTTTTCACAGGGGTCATAAAAAGTCTAAAATTATTGTAAATAATTCATTTTATTTGTATTTTATAATATCTTAAGTACGTTAACCCGTTGTGTAGCTGGTCATAAATATGCTCATATCTGTTTAATTATGTTAATGTTAATTTACAGCGACCTGTCTTACTTAAAAATGAAAAATGGGTTTCGAGGGATATTTTCTTACTTCGCATTATTTTCCATTGTGGGGAAGTGTAAGTACTTTGGGGACTCAGATATTCCTTCCTAGATGTCAAACTTCAGAAAGATCTTTATATTATTTCATTATGATCTTAAAAAGAACCCAAAAAGTTCAAACCTGCATAAATCAGATCATTCACTTTTTTTCAAGTTTTTAACTTGGCAGCAAGTGTGTTGGAAGAATAAATGGAGAGAAAGAGATCACACATGAACAAAAGCATACATGATTTAAACAGGAATGTGTTCACTGAGTGTGCAGAGTTTTCTGCTGTTGTTTAGAAGACAGCGTCACAAACAGTATTCATATGAAACCTGAAAAACAAAAGCACAAGAGGAGTACTAGTGACAATGTGTCTGTGTCAGAAGAACAATCCTTTTAAGCCTATGTAGTGTTGGTGTGTGTGGTAGTGTAGCGGATCACCTGTAATTCCATGATCCTCTCTTGAGAACACACTTCATCACATGACCGCATCATGTGACACGTTGGGCTCATCACTAAGTGGACACAGAGCAGAACTTCTCTCTTTTCCCACCACTGACTCCAATCTTTCTTTTCCTGTCCTTTACCTCTTTCTTATGCTGATCTACTTAGTTTTTTCTCTTAGAACAAACAATCAGACTATGCTTAGAGAATACATGATTCAACTTATGTAACAATTGAGTAACCTTAATTTTAAAGTAATGGAAGAAATATTTGTTTACTTCCCCCGGATGATGGATTTTAATATTTAGTTTTTCCACTGGGATTCCTTCTTTCGAACCCACAGCATTTCAGTGAGGCCAGCCTGGTTTCTAACTCCTCAAGTCCTTTATGACTCAGTCTTATCTGTAAATCTAACGGTAGGGTTTATATTTCCAGGGAGATGTGCTGAATAGAACACTGTTCCTCATTATTTCCTTATTTCTTTTTGTTTTGAAAAAAATCAATGTATACATGCATTTTATTCAGCACGTCTCACAAGTGATGTCACACATTTTTGAGCCTGTCTGCTGTGGGTATAAGACCTGCCAAGTCCTTCCTATCAGCTCAGTATTATGTGCATAGAAAGGTCAGATTGTATTCTTATTCTTTCTTCTGGTGGAATGTTATCAGCTTGGACTGTTCTCTATGTTGCTCTTCCTCTCGCTTGCTCTTTTGTTTGTAATTGAGCAGAATTTGTCGCAGGAATCTTTCCAAGGCTATATATTAATAAATATTAAACTTATTTATATGGCACACAACAGAGTTTACAAGGTGCTTTGACAACAAAGCAAGAAAAGTAAATACAAACTTGAACACATAAAAGCAGTAATAAAAAGGAAATAAACAAGTAAAATACAATGTGAAAATTAAATGATTAAAGACCAGTGTAGAGAAGACTAGTGTATGAATGACTTTTTGCAAGTACAGGTTTGGTTTTGAAGATGGTTCTGATTTGCAGGAAGCAGAACTGGATTTTTTAAAAATGTGTACCAAGGCTACGCTCCTTGATTGATTGATGGGGTGGATGGTCATCAGGTCTCAGCGCAAGGTATATCTGTGTGTCATCTGCATAGCAGTGGAATGAGCCAAACGGTGTGGATAACCTCTTTAAGAAATTTGGTGGGAATGATATCAAGGCTGCATGTAGTTGGTTAATGAGGGTTATGATTTCAGATAAAAACGAGAGTTACACAGGTTCAAATTTTCAAAAATAAGAATATCCCTCTTGGCATTTAAAATGGTGTGAGGACGAACGATTTGTTGCCTAATGTCTTTCACTCTGCCTGTAAAAGCATTAAAAACCTCTCACACATCTCTTGTGAGGTGTCTGTAAAATGAGAGGGGGAGGGGGTGAGGATAGAATCTACTGCCTTAAATATGGGAATAGAGTAATTGATTCAAATCAAGTTAGAAGAGAAGGAAGCTTTTGCGTCTTTAACTGCTGTTTGCTGGATTGGTTGTTGTTTTTTTTATTAGCTATTATTAGTTTTTTTTCTATTAGTTTTATTTTGGAGTTAATCAAGCGTAAGTACTTTCTTACCTTAAAGACCCAGGCATTTTTATGTGTGCACCTGAAGAAAGTTTTTGTATTCAGCTGGATGCATTCCAGCAGGGTTCTAGCCTTTTGGTTTTGCTTTAAAAATGAGATCCTTTGTTTCCCCCCTCCCCCAGATATAGGTAGCTTCTGCAAACACATGTGTCTTATCATCCAGCTCTGTAAGTGATAAGGAAATAAGAATAACACAGCAGTTAGCAGCACTGCTTTGTTTAAATGTTTTACCTTTTACTGTAGACAGCATCACCAGCAGCATTTCAACACAACTATGGAAGAAATGCAAACAAGAAAACATGACTTCTCCTAGTTTAAGATGAAAAATAAAGTTAAACAGTAAAACATGCAATCCACCTGTATTTTAATTCAGTCAATAGTCCCACTTGTGTTTTAAGTCAACTCTCCTCTGACTCGGTAACACAGAGAATGAGCTTTCATTGACAGGAGCAGTGTGAACATTTAGTCAAACGTTTTCATAGTAGAGATCGATGTAGCAGGTTTGCAGGGAAACATAGTAGCTCCCATTATCTGTGAAGCAGCCTGACAGACTGTGAGAAAAAGTTCTTTTAGCACATGCTGCTCAGACTCTGCTCTAAGTGTAGAGTACAGTTTTCGGGTATAGTGCAGTAGGTGTTATGCAATGTAAAACACATCAACACAGTTTGGTTGTCAATTAAAAATGACTATTGTCCTCCCTCTGTTGTAGTTTGGTATCAAGTGCTTTTCCTCAGCTACAAAGTTGTCCATTTGACTCAGGGTGGCAAAAATGTGAATGAGCCCCCCTGCTAAATGGTGCAGTTTGCTTTTTCTTTTTATGTTCAAGTGGTTGTAAATACACTGCCACAATCTGAAACTGAATAGGAGTCATTCACTCACAGTGGCTCTCCAGCTGTCTGAGTTCCTGGTATGTAAGGCCACCCAAAGCTGTCTCCCAGGGTTACCACTGTTCTGCAGCATCCATGTCCACACATCAATCCACACAGCCCCACATTCTTTCCTTTTTATGTATTTACATGCCTGTTTTTTTCTTTCCTGGAATCTTTGTCCCCCACTCACCACCCTACATCCACTCACATTAGACACATTTACTTGAACACTAATTTGATTATACTCCCGATGAAGAAAATAGATAAGTCACTGCGATGTAAACAGCATTACCTTAATCCAAATAAAGTAATTCTCGGAATTAGCAATAATCAAATTAAGACATTACCTCAGTCCCAATACAAAGACATGTATATGTATGAATCACATTATAATGTCCTTTTGGAGTTTTCACAGCACTTTGTTACATGAGTATTTTCCAGTTACTAACCACTTGATGACACATGTCCTATTGAGTGTAAACAAGTATTTGAACCTACAGCTGACATGAAGCAGTAAAGCAGATTCTGCTTTGTAACATGTTAACAGGAATATGAATGCAACTCATGTAAACATCCTAATGAGACTAATGTCTCATTGAGAATATAGTCAGCAGACTGAATATTGCTGTCCATGTAAATGTGTCACTTTCTCTCCTTGATAGATTTGTAGCCTAGAAAAAAAGGGGAAGCACATGCTTTATTTATTGATACATAAAGATATCCATTATTCTATTAATGGTAGCACAGCTCTTCATTAGCATGGTGTGAATATTATGCAACAATAAAAAGCAATAGTTAGAAATGTCAGTGAACTAACTGAGAAGAATTGTTCATTAACATATGTTACATTATTTGTTAAAATATATTTATATAATGTATCTTAAAAGCTACATCCTGCTAACCCTGTATGGAAGTGATGATTGATATCATTGTTGTATGGCTGACTCAGGTTAAACCTTTTGAAAAACAAATACATACAGAGGATTATTTCCACAAATGTTTTTTTATTATTTAGTTTATGATCTAGTTTTAGTTTTGAACAATATAATAATAACATTTTACTTGGACATTTTAGCTAGCTTTGTCTAAATGCCACACTGCAGGAAATCACTTCTTCTTTGCCACTCTAAAAGCAGTTCTGGCTGTTGGCAGTAAAAGCCAACTGCTGTTTTGGAATGATGAGGAAGAAGTGACCTCTGGGAAAAGAAAATTTCACTTTTAATTAAGTGAAACTAATATACTTTTGAGACATCGGATCAGATTTTTTTAAAATCCCCAAGACCTCTACTATTGTGGATGTTGTGCTGAGGCCTTTATTTAAATTAATAAGTAATATGTTGTTGACTACAGATAAAGGCATCAGCTCAATTGTAACATTAACATTACAACACTGTCTGAGAGACAGAGCTCTGTCCTCAAAGGCAGGTGGAAAGACTGCAAACAGCCAAACAATACTGCAAGAACTATAACACACACACACACACACACACACACACAATGAGTCCTTTGTACTCTCTCTCCCTGGGTACCGTAGGGGTGCGGTATGCCTCCTCAGCAATGCCAGCTAACATGGGGCCAGCCTCCCTACTCTGCCCAGCAGCTCTCTTGGGGTGAGAGTCTGTGTGCACATGCGTGCGTGTGTGTGTGAAGGAGACCCAGGGAGACCTCAAGGGCACCTTTGGTCTACTCCATTTACTCATCCATATTTTCGCTTCTTCTCAGACACGACATATTCAACATAGTTTGTAAACGAATGCTTAAAAATGACAAAAGTAAACTTACCACCATTAAAATACAGTTGAGTTGTTTCATTTGTTGTATCCAATATATGTTCTTGTTTTGAACAAGGAGACATATAGAGAGCTTAGACAGAACCTCTGAGCAAAGATTTGTGAATGATTGTTTGCGTTTCATTTTCAGTTAAGAAAATGTATCTAAATCTTTGTTTACTTTTACTTTTACCTGCATGAATGGCATGACTAGTAAAATGTTTTTCTGCATGTTGCTCTGGTCCTACTTCAGTATTACACTGGCTACCTGTTACCCTCCGCAGGCCTCTCACTTGATTGACATGATTAGCTAAATGCTGTTGATGTTGTGGCTTTCCAATGTGCTTTTGATGCCAAATAAAACGAGAGAAAATAATGTCCTGTGAAAGTGTATAAATATGTTATTTGTTTGTAACTGTAGTACGTGTGGGGAAGAGTATTAAGTCTGCTGTATATTTGGTTAATTTACAGATCAACTTATAACAAATATAGTTCAAGAAATAAATGAAAGATGAGAGAAAAAACCCAGAGAAAGACAGAGGAGAATTACAGCTGCGGGCTGATCTTGGACAGCACCTTTTTCATAGAGCCAGATGATCACATGATTTGTTCAGCCACCCCACTTCCCCCTTCTCCTGGGCGTCTGGGGCACTTCAACCCCAGTTACTGTGGCAACCCTGTCGCTGTGCCTCATGGTGGGGTTTAGAAGTGTGTGTGTGTGTGTGTGTGTGTGTGTGTGTGTGTGTGTGTGTGTGT